TGTGATTTATTATTTTAATTTCCCTGTTTACTTCTCTCCACAAAAATCACTTCATAACTAATAAAAAAGCTCATAGCTGCTTTATTCCTCTTACCTTTCCTGGAGAAATGCATAAGTCCTCTTTCTGAATTATCTGTGAACTTGATTTAATGACAAAACACAGTAAATGAAAAGGTCAGAACTATCTGAAAATTAATGATACATTTTATCACGATAATCTTACTTTTCAATGACATCTGCAATGAACTGGCTAGCCACTTGGGCCTCTTCTCCAGGAGGTCCAGACCGAAATCTGGAGGAACACAGTGGTGGCAGATCCACGTTAGGAACTGAAAAAAACAAAACAAAACATTGCAGCTATGAAATACACTTCACTTCTGGTTTACAGAAGTGTTAAAGGTATTTAATCAATCCGTGGGTAGGCTTTCCAAAGTGGAAAGAATTGTATACATCAATTATATTCCTTTTGGTATTTATAAGACTCTTAGGCTTAAATAAAATAATTTACATTTCCAACTGTTTCCCATACAAATAATACTGCACCCCCCCCCCCAAAAAAGCATTTACTTAAGGCCTAAATCCTTTATAAGTTTTCTAGATTTCTTTCAAATTACCTAACCCTGTAGCAGGAGATAGCCCCTCTACTCATACCCAACTGTTGTGCATTTTTTAAATGCTGGTTCCTCCTATAAAGAACAGATGGTCCAAGTCAAGAAATAAATAATGGTATAAACGAAGAATCTTTATGGAAATAGATGTTTGCAATTGCAGCCCTTTGCCTAAGAGATTCTATTCTTGATAGATGACATCTGAATGTATAAACAATTGATCAAACAAGTCTGAAAATATACAAAATTCTATTTTGCTAGTATTAGTATGCTATCTTCTAACACATATACAGAAAACTTCAGGAATGTCTGCTTCATTACTGTGTATTCTTAATTTTCTTTCTTTCTTTTTTTTTTAGATTTTTATTGGGGAATTGGGGGTATGGGAACAGTGCTGGGGAATTGGGGGAAGGGGAAGTTGCTGTCGTTTTGTTCTTCAATCTAGTTGTGGAGGACGTTGCTTCACTGGCCCACGTTGGCACCATCATTGCGCTCTTCTCTGGCAAGGCAGATCAGTCGCTGGCTTCTGAACGGCCACCCACTGTGGCTACTGGCCGCTCACGCTGGCTGCTGGCTACACACGGTAGCCCATGGCAACCCACTGCCACAGGGACTGCAGCCTACGCTGTCGCCGGCGACTCATGGCAGCCCAGCTCCAGGTTGAGCTGTTGTTCAGCATCTTAGCTGTGGAGGGCAGTGTCACTGGCCCTCATATGTGGGATCCAAACCGGGGCCCTCTGGCATCCCAAGCGAGTTCTTAACCATCGCGCCACTCGGCCGGCCCTATTCTTAATTTTCTTCATCTCAACTAATAGGACTTGTAAATTACAACATTAGCATTAAATGTGTTCAAGTATTTGTATGAAAATTACAAAACCATTTAACTTACCAACATATCCTTTGTCAGGGGCATCTGTTGGTGGTGCTGCAAATTCCTATAGGAGCAAACAAATGTTCCTATGAAAGCTAAAAAAATTGTGAAGACAGCTTAGCAGTCAGTATGGAAGGTTCTACCAGAGAGCATATTAGCTAATTAACCATGAGTATCTATGCTTTGGGAGTTGTGTTGAGTTGGGCTCTAAGGACATTGGCACCAATCCTCACATTTGCTCTGCAAGATAATAAGGCAGTACAGCATAGTTCACTACACTTAGTGATACTTATCAGTTACCTGGGGCTCTTTTCAAAAAGTATTAATTGGATTTCTGCTCCACCTTCAATTATACTTATTCAGTAGCCAAGAATCAATTTAAACCCTAAGGTAATACCGACACAGATTTAGGAACTGCAAAACCTCTGGAATCACCTGGTTCAAATGTCTGACTGACACTTTTTGGCTGAGAGACTAAGTTACTTAACCTCTTACCATTCAATTTCCTCATCTGTAAAATGGGACCTACTTTTAGGAACTGTCAAGTGAGATAATGCTGTTAAGTCCCTAACATAAAATTTGGCAGTAAGTGCTCAAATCTTGTTAATATCCCAGCTTTGCCACGGAAGAATCTGAACTTAGGCAAAGTAACTCACAGAGTGAGTAGTCAAAAAGCACAGGCTTTGGAGTCAAAGTTCTATTTGTGAGACTTACATTCTTGAACTTCATGTAAAACACGAGACAGTGAAATTATATCTCTGATGATTGTTCTGAGGATTAAACTGGATAATTCTGTAAAGCACCTAACGTAAGGTGCCTGGAACATAGCAGGTACTCAGTACTTGGTAGCTATTCCCTCAGCTTTTCTTTTGAACAATCTCAATTTTCTATACATTTGCATCGATTAAATGCTATCACTGGATAAAAGGATATCACCAAAATCTTAATTTCTCAAATGACAACCAAATTCTTGAGAAATTAAAGGTGGTGAGGATTTGATAAATTACTTGATCTCAGTACATTTGATGAATGTTCATAAATTTCAACTAAGTCATTAAACGTGGGTCGTATTCAGTGAAAGATGAAAGCTCTTGGGAAATGAAAACAAATACTAAAAAACTGACATCTGTCTAATCAACAAAATTACAAGTGTATATTTACAATCTAATAAGTATATGAAGCTAATTCAGTAACACAAATCTCATTAAGATACATTAAACCTACCGCTTTAATTCCACAAATTACTGTGGTATTTCCCAGCTTCACTAAAGCAGAACCATCTGCAGTACTAATTGAACCTGAAAAGATAAGTATTTTAGCAAAATGAAAAAGTCCATAGTTTTCATTTTCTACATATGATCTTATCTTGTTACATATCTCAGTTGCTTATGAAAATTTATTCCTAGCTCAAGTCTTTTTAAAGTTGGTGTGACTACTGTTTTAAGAATTATACACCTGTCCTTGAATTTGAGTTAAGCATTTTCATTCAGTCACAGGACTGTTATTCAAATAAAAATTCTCTTGACACAAAACCACTGGATTCCTTTAAACATAGTAGAATTTGCCTGAAATACTGTTTAAGTGGCTCAGAGGTTAAAATTTGGGAATGCCACACAGGTAAAATTGGAAAATTCACGTATGTAACAGATCTAATAAGCTTAATAAAACATAAAAGTATGTCTTGGAGATCTGGAAGGAGGGAAGGGGGGGAAACGCTTTACAGTTATTTTAAAATTTAAAACGAATGTATCAATTGAGAGAAGAGTGACAAAAACAATTTACAAATAAAAACTCTTTACTATTAAAAAGAAAAAACAAAATCCTGAAGCAACTTCAACATTCTATTTTAGAATTCAAAATATCCTCACCTATGTTGACAGTTGTGGTTCTGAATTCACCAAGTTCTCTTCCATCAGGACGGCAGTTCTCTTTCTAAATATATATATGAAAGATTACATCTACATGTCTATTTTACATACAATCAGGGAAAACACATTAAACCTTGTTAAACTGAAATTACTTGAAATATTTTGAGGTATAATTGAAATATAAGTTTCTTCAGGTGTTCAATGTAACAATTCAATACTTGTATATGTGAAAATTGTCTTAAAAATGATATCAAAAGGCATTACATATACATAACCTTTACTCACCAAAAATCGCCTGTAATACTCCAGAGGTTCCACAGTTCTGAAATGTTAATATATGTATGAGGTAAGTTAATGAATCTTAACAAATCCAGGAACTGGAAAAAAAATCTTAAAAATGTAGTATTGCAGCATAAATCTCCACAATGTGTAAGTTTCCTTCATAAATTCTGACACTTATGTTGCCACATTACTAATTATAAAAAGTAGATACCCTTGCTGTAGCAATCACACTCAGCTGTCCTTAACTGCCTTAAATAATTATAGGCTTGGAGCCCAAAGCCCTTGGGCTTCTTTAAAAGAGGATTAATCCAGGTGTTAAAATGTCACTCTCCCTCTGAAGCAGGGATTCTTAGCATGAAAAAAAATAGTTACATCTTTATTTTTCACCATCTTATAACTGAAATTGAGCATATTCTTAAATTCTGACTAGGTTAATAAGCCATTATAATATTAGCAATACCTGCGACTTGAACAACCACAGACATTAAATGTTTTTGTTTTTACTTAATAGTTGTTGAAGGTAGGTGCAGACTCATTTACTTGGAAATTCCAGGAATTATTAGACTCCCCCACTAGATCTTGTTTAATAAAGTTAATTTTAAAACAAGTATATATACATCACTATCATAAACTCGAGAATTTATAGAAATAGAAAAATAAGTGTTTCAATATAATTGGTTTCTTTTGGAATCCTACTTATCCATTTAAAAATTTGACTCCGAGAACGAAAACCTATAGGCTTCACCAGAGTGCCACACACACAAAAGAGCTTAGCTAAAATCGTCCACAAAAGCACAATCCTTTCAGAAACAAATTATGGAGAGGGAGACTAGAATGGCACGTGGTTCTGATGCAACACTTTAAAAGAATGCAACTGTGTCTGCAGGGGCTGCACGTCCACTACACACAAGGCACATGCGCCCCGCAGCGGGTACTGAACTCTACACACAGTCCTTTCCATCTTCCCGTCTCACTGGCAGGAAGAAGCCCCCTTTCTTTTCACTACGACCACCTCCAGGTCCTCCCGCCCGTCGTCTGCTTCCGCGAGAGAAACTGGGAAGCTAGTGGGGTGGCTTTCAGGTGAGAAAAATCCCAGCCAAGGGTTAATGGAAGCCGCCATCCGTCAGGATACAAACTCGCGCCCACCCGCCGCCAACACTCACTTGAACCCGGCAGCCATCTTCCCGCCCGCGCGCCTGCGCCTGCGCGGGGGTGACACTGCGCCTGCGTCTGCGCGGGGTGTGGGGGAGAAGGACACTGCGCCTACGCACCGCGCACGGGCTGGGCTTCCACTCACCGCACGGACGCCGGTACTCTTCTATCGCTGCAGGGGACGCAGAACGCCAGGGCGCCGCAAAGGTGGTTCCCGACCCTTCACTTCAGCTGTCACTAGCCAGACTCAGCTCTGGGTTTCTTTGCGCTCTACGCGTTTTGACGAATCGGCTGTTATAGAAGTGACGAGCTTCTCTGTTTACAGTTAAAGAGTTTAAGAGAAAATCGACCTTATAGCAAACAATCCAGTATTGAGTGTGAAGCATTATTCCAATGTTTCTGCGTTATTTTTCCGCCTCTCTCTTAGGCTATGACCGGGTTTTCCTTCTCCCAGGTAAAGGGCTCCCTGTTTCAGCACTGGAGATTACATAAATTTTCTTCGCACTCTTTATCCGCACCAGGTTATACGGAGCTGCTTCTGTTGTAGGTTGCGTCGTGGCTCTAGGCTTCCAACCCCCCCCCCCCCATAGGGCTGCCAGATAAGATAAAGGACATCCAGTTAAATTTGAATGTCAGATATAAAGAGTAATTTTACTCTGAGTACGCCACAAATATTGTATATTAGTAGCTGTTACCAGGGGCTGGAGCAGGGAAAGTTTTAGAGATAGTGGTGATGGTTGCAGAAAATTGCGAATGTAATTAATAACACTGGATTGTACGTTTTATAATGGGTAAAATAGAAAAAAAAAATTCAGTTTTAAAAAGTTATGCAACATACTAAAAACTTTTAAATGTGTGGGTTGTATGGTGTGTGATTTATATTTTAGTAAGGATGTTTAAAAAAAATCTTAGTTGCTTATCTGAAATTCAAATTAAGTGGACGTTCTGTGTGTTCACTTGCTAATTACGGCAACAGGAGCTGAGCGCCGGCCTGGCACACCTGAACCACGCGCTCTCCTCGCCGCGCGAGGGCGCTGTGGGTGGCGGGCGCCGGGCGGGCGCGGCCTCTCTGCCGGCGGGAGGCGGGGCTGCGCGTCCGGCTTCCGCGTGTGTGTAGATCCTGGAGAGGGCGGTGCTGCGGCCGGGGTATGGAGGATGGCTTCGCTCCCGCTGCAGCTGGTGGTGCTCGGCTCGGTGCTCGGCGTGGCGCTGGCGGCCGCAGCCCTGATACTGGTGAGAAGGGTTGGGGACCGACGCGGGCCTGGGCTCACTGCTCTCCTGGAGGCAACGCCCCAGGCATGCTGCCCTCCGCACTGCCGGCTCTTCGACGTGTCCCTCTTCACCATGCTTCCCCCAAGCCTTGACCCCAGAATTCCTGTCCTACAATTTCACATCCCTTTCCTTCCGTTGTTTATTTTTATTTTGGAGCCTTATCTCCGTACGTACCCAGAGCCTTGTACGTTTATTCACTTTGGGACGTGCTTACCCAGTCTTCACCCGCCCCCTGGTTTCGGGACCCTCTGCCCATCCCCACCTCTCCAAGACTTCCTCCCCGGTCTGCAGCCTCTGCAGTTCTGGCCCCTCCGGGGAGGTCTTGAGCCCCCAGAAGGTGAGTGCTCTCTAGACTCCCTTTTCCTGATGTAGTTAAGCAAATAGAAAACAGTGACATCCCAGACAGGAGCCATCTATTACAGATTGGAATAAATCAATGGATCACCGAAATCCAATAGGGACACAGGAAGACCGAGATAGGCAAGGCCTGATGTTACCATGTACGCCTGAGGGTCCTTATGTCTCAGAATTAAACACCCTGAATTTGCTGCCTCTAAATGAGGCAGTAAAATAGATTTCAGACTCGAATTTTCTTTGCCAATATTCTGGAAACAAACATTATAAACACTTGCTGATCCATCAATAGTAAAAAATTGCCAAGTGAACTTTATCCCATGTAATTTGGAACGATCCTATCCTCTAGTTAGTCAATGGAGAGGTTTCAGCATCTTTGGCATTCAGAATAGCAGCCAGGAAGGCCACTCTGTCATCTTGCGAGAAAGCTTGACAGCTCACAGCTTAGAAACAGTTTAGGTAGAGAGAAAGCACTGTATCCTGATTTCTTGGGTGATGTGTGTCTGGGTGAGAGAGGAGTGCTTTCTTTCCTTTAGTGGGGTATGGAGATTTTGGTGTTTTTCAGGTTTTTGAGCAGGTCAGGTTTTTGGCGGGGCAGAGTATGACAAAAATCCTAGATTGAATCTACCTTATGTTGAATCTGTTGCACAGATTTACATGTGTATATTATGAGTTTGTACTGGAAGTATTTGATCCCATTGGCTTGAAATGATTGTAAGAGCTACCATTTATTAAGTACTTAAAACATGTTGGGTATTCAGAGTTTAACAGGATTATCTCATTTGATCTTTAAAATAATACTCACAAATGTTATCATTAGCTTCATTTGACTGGTGAGGAAACTGAGGTTGGAGAGATGAGCGCATGTATACAAATGTCACACAGCTCATGGAACTTGGTTTTATTAAATGCCAGAGTGGGAAATTATTACCAAAAACCCATTAATATAATTTTTTTGTTTTTCACCCTCCATACATACTTCCCACCCCACTTTCTGGAGTATTCTGAAGCAAATCCAAGACATAATATTTTATCTGTAAAGCCTCAGCATTTATCTCTAAGATAGGACTCTTCCCCCACTTTCCCTCAGCTTTAAAGTATAATGGCAATAGGGCTAGCACAGATTTTTTTTTTTTAAGTTAACCATTCTTCCCTGGTTTCAAATACCCCATCATTTCCAACGCCTCATGCATATCTTAGTAAACTCACTTTGTCCCAGCCAGCATTCACACACACTTAGCAGTTCATTGATTTGTCTCAAGTCTTTTATTTATTTATTTTTTATTTTTAAAGATTTTATTGGGGAATTTGGGGAGGGGAACAGACAAGTTGCTGTCCTTTTGTTCTTCAGTCTAGTTGTGGAGGACGTCGCTTCACTGGCCCATNCTTTTGGTTTTGATTTGTTTTTAGTTTAATTAAATGATTTTTTAACTCTACTGAAAGGTAGAAGATGTCCTTTTTCATCAATTGTTAGTAATGTTACTGCTGTTTTTGGATTCAAAGTTAAAGCTTATTTGCCATATACATCTGAATTTTTAACGTGGTACCTCTGCCAGGAAAAAAGGGAAGAAATTATTGTTACTATTGAATAGTAAACAAAGTATATAACAGATAATTTCCAAAAGAAAATATAGATGACATAAAAAATCCCCCCAAATTTTATCTTTTTATTAAAAAAGGAAATGAGATCACATGTGGTTATATTTTCCCCTTATCAAATTAGCAGATTTAAAATGAGAATAATTAATATCCTTTAAACCTAAAAAGTGCAGTTTTAATAATAAATACCTTACACTGAAATCCCTTGTGGTTTGAGACCCAAGTAAATATTAATTTGTGGAACATAAACATCTTTCAGAAGAGTTGAATATATTCATTAACTTCATGCACATCCCTGTACTATTTCTTTGTGCATAGCTGTTGTGCATGAACCCTTGAAAAGGGGATGTGAGTTGTCTCTGCAAGAGCCTGTTTGTGTTAACCGTGGCTATAGTAGATGTAATTGGACTGCAAGGTAAAAAAACAAAACTGAGTAGGTGGAAGCCAGACTCATTGGTTGATACTTAATATGAGTTAAGGGTTCCCTATAAAAGCAATTTTCATTCCAAAAGCAGTGTTTATTTTTACTTGAGATTAAATTAGACCTTTCTGGATACCTCCATCTTTTGGCAAACAGGGTTGAAGTGCTTAATGAGAGGTTAGGTGGGGCCTATACTTGAAAAGTTATCCCAATATGCAGTTGACCTGTTCTATCCAATCCCTTTCCATTGTACTGTGTTTATACCTAATTGTATCAGATGAGGTCAGCTTGCCACTAGATCAAGATTGTAGATGATCAGATGCATTTTTATCCTGTGAGTACAAATGCTTATGTACACATGTATACAATGGACATGCTTGACTCCCACAATTCACACGTAAGTGTATTATCCAAGTAAAATTGTAATAATGTAAAGTTTGTTAAAATTGAAGTGATGATGATGATATTAAAGAAATGAAAATTATTAGAATTGGCAAGAATTTGATGAAATAGTCAATCATACCCAGTTAGTGGGAATGTAAGGAGACTTTTAAAGAACAATTTGGCCCATATATATTAAACACATTCATACTTTTAACTTAGTATTCTACTTCTTTGACTTTTTCTAAAGAAAGAAAACCAAAATGCAGTTAGAATTTAATATTAAAAAGTGTTCTTTTGAGCACTTTTATAATAACATGAAATTAGAAATGGTTAACATATAGGCAAATAGTGAAAGTATGGTTAATCTATATAATATTTTACTATGTTGTGCCCTTACAATGGACACAAAAAAGAAAGACAGACATGGAATACTACTATGACAAGTTCTTGAAAAATAAACCTAAATCTTACCAAGCCTCTAACCAGTTGACAGGAAATACAGAGGACAAAGGAACATGTTAAATGTCACCAGGGGGTTTCAATCAGCAAAATCCAAAACCTAGGAAACTCTACAGGAAAATTACATGGTTTCTTCAACAAATAAATTATAAGAAAAATATTTAAGAAGCATAGGGAGACCTCGTGGATAAAAGAAGTGCCAACCAATTTGAATGAATTTTATTTGGCTCTTAATTTAAACAAACTGAAAATACTTATGAGATAATTGGGCAAATTTGAAAATTAACTCTATATCTAATGGTGTTAAGGAATTAGTAATGTTTTCAGTATGATAGTGGTATTGAAATACATATCAATTTATGGTCTATGATGCTTAGAATTTGTTTCAGTCTAATCCCAGGTTGGGTGGGAGGTAGTGAGGGGTGGACGGGAAGCAAGATTGGCTCTGGCCACGTGTCGAGGGTTGTTGAAGCCAGGTAGTGGGTGCCTGGGGCTTGTTTTCCCCCTCTCTACTTTTGTGTGTGTTTGGAAATACCCACAATAAAATGGTCAAAAACAATGAAGTAGGAGATTTTTAGCTTATTGTAAATGAGAAAGAGCATGATATACATGACTACATTTCAGCTCTTGTTTTTTAAATACAGAGAAAAAAATCACAAGGAAATATACAAAATGTTTGCAGTGGCTGCTTTTAGGTAGTGAGATTATGCATGACTTCATTAATAAAATTTTATCATATATGTGTAAATTTATATGCTTGCCAATTTTTTTACAATGAGCACTTTTAAATTATCTATTTTAGTGAATGATTCCAAGTTCAGACAGTTAAGAAGATACACATAGAGTGAAACTGGCTATATCCTTCATTTCTGTCATCCAGTTACTCCCAGAAGTTACCAATGTTATTTATTTCTTGTATATCCATGTGAAAGATGTGTGTATCTATTCTTTATTTAAACATGCAA